CTCTCTCTCTCTCTCTCTCTCTCTCTCTCTCTCTCTCTCTCTCTCTCTCTCTCTCTGTGTGTGTGTGTCAAAATTGGGGTTGAAGATGAAGTATATAATGAGCTGGATTAGGTGTCTAAGATAATTTTAGGTTAGTGTTGGACTTAATTAAGGTTGTCAAATGGGTGGTTTTGGTTGGGTCATAAATAGGGTTGTGCATGGTTCGGTCTAGACCGAAAAAACGACCGAACCGACCAAAAATTAGCAGTTCAGGTCGGTATTGTTTGTAGGTCAGTTCGAATCGGGTTGAAAACTTTTCAACCCGAACCACCCGAACCGACCGCATCACTAATAACACTATAATTTTTAGCCCGCAGCCACACTTCCTCTCTTTGTCCCAGTTCCACACTCCACACTCTCTTACACACACTTTCTCTCTCTGCACTTCGCAGCGCACAAGCGCAGGCGCACCGACTCTCGTCGACTCCAACTCGCCTACGACTCGTTGTTGTCACCTCTGACTCGCCGCCGACTCGAATTTCCTTCAGCTGTCGACTCGAATTTTCTTCACTCGACGCCAAGCAGCCACTCATCATAGTCTTAATGGCCGAGACCGAACCATCTCCTCAGGATCCATCTTCTGCTTTGGGGACACCCGCACCCATAATGGAGGTATAAACTGAAAATCCTAATTTTGAATCTATACTTTCAGTTTCAAGGGGAAAGATCTAAACTTTTTAGTTCTTGATGCATGCTACTAAATTGTAGATTAGTGAGAAATAATTGGTTTAATTAGATTTTTAGGGGGACTACAAACTAGATCATAAAAATTACACATTCCCACAAGTGCTAAGTCATTGACACACCAAGACTGAAAGATACACTAGCACCATATCCACTAGATTTTTGACTGGTCTTGGACTTTTGGGTCTTTGTATATGTTAAAATAGCTTCTTCCCTTCATGTACCTTATAGATGTATTTGTTTTGTTTTAAGTTACAGCTGATTGTTGCTACCCCTGTGATGATTCCCCTTCTTTATCGTTTTATTTTGATTAGATTAGTGCTGTTGTTTTTCAAAATCCTTACATGTTGTTACATGTATAAGTTGTGAATAAAGCAAAAGAAAAGGTTGTATAATAGACATGAATAAATTTGTCTACAATATTTGAATGCATCTTGATTAGAACCGAACAAACCGAACCAAACCGTACCGAACCAACTTGCAATAGTTTGGTTCGGTTTTGAATAAAGGGTGGTTCGGTTTGGCTGTTAGAAACTTGATAAAAGCCGAACCGACTGACCGTTTGCACAGCCCTAGTCATAAATGGGTAAAATTAACAAACAACATCCTTAAATTTTTAAAATTAGTAAAACAAACCTCAATGGTTTAGAATTACAAAAATCACTCTAAAATTTTAAAACCTACAAATGACACATGAAATCTAAAAATCACCAGCAACCCCTTGAAAATTTATACATTACAATAAATGCCTTTAAAAGGTTAAAAAATTATAAAAAAACACCCTGAAGAGTTCAAAATTATAAAAAAATATCAGAATTTTCTAAACTTGCAAATGACACATGAAATCTAAAGATTTTTAGTAGTCCCCTATAAATTTAAAATTTACAAATAACAGCATTAAAGTTTTAAAATTAAAAAAAAACACCCTTAATGGTTAAGAATTACAAAAACCACCATGGAATTTAAAAACATACAAATGACACATGAAATCTAAAAATTACCAGCAGCCCGTAAAAATTTATAATTTTGAAAAAACATCTTCAAAATTTAAAAATTATAAAAGACACACTCAAGAGTTCAAAATTACAAAACAATCTCAGAATTTTCTAAACTTGCAAATGACACATGAAATCTAAAGATTTTTAACAGTCACCTATAAATTTAAATTTGCAAATAATACCCTTAAAGTTTTAAACATTGTAAAAACCACCCTGAAATTTCAAAACCTACAAATGACACATGAAATTTAAAAATTACTAGCAGGCCTTGTATATTTATAATTTACAAAAAGTACCCTTAAAGTTTAAAAATTACAAATAGCACCCTCAAGAATTCAAAGTTATATAAAAGTCTTAAAATTTTCTATACCTACAAATAACACATGAAATTTAAAAATATCTAACGTCCCTTATAAATTTAAAATTTATAAAAAGTACAACCAAAGTTTTAAAATTTATAAAAAATACCCTTAAACTTTCAAAACTTCACAAAACACCAAAAAAGTTGCAAGGCATGTAGATAAAGACACTACAAACCTAGAAATACAAGCATCTTCTATGGTTGTGTTGCCATAAATTTCAAACTTAAGGGTGTTTTTCATAAATTTCAAACTTTTAGGGTGTTTTTTATAATTTTCAAATTTACAAGAGGCTGGTGGTAATTTTTAAATTTCATGTGTTATTTGTAGGTTTTGAAATTCTAAGGCGGTTTTATTAATTTTTAAACCCTTGAGGTTGTTTTCACAGTTTCTAAAACATTGAGGGTGTTTTTGCAAATTTTAAATTTATTGGGGGATACTGGAAATTTTTAGATTTCATCTGTCATTTGTAGGTTTAGAAAATTCTGAGAGTTTTATATAATTTTTAATTCTTGAGAGTGCTTTTTGATATTTTAAAATTGTAAGGGCGTTTTTTTGTAAACTATAAATTACAGGGGCCTGGTAGTAACTTTTAGATTTCATTTGTCATGTGTAGGTTCTAAAATTTCAAGGTGGTTGTTGTAATTCTAAATCCTTCGCGAGTAGTTTTCGAAATTTTTAAAACTTTGAGGGTGTTATTTATAAATTCTATATTTATAGCGGTCTGCTGAAAATTTTTGGATTTCATGAGTCATTTGTAAGTTTAGAAAATTCTAAGATTCTTTTGTAGTTTTGAACTGTTGAGCGTGATTTTTTAAAATTTTTTGAACTTTGAGGGTGTTTTTTGCAAATCATAAAATTTTAGGGGTTTGTTGGTAATTTTTAGATTTCATGTGTCCTTTGTTGTATGTTTTGAAATGTCAATGTTGTTTTTATAATTCTTAAACATTGAGGGTGTTTTTTTACAAAATTTAAAACTTTCATTGTGTTATTTGCAAATTTTAAATTTATAGGGGAATGCTTGAAGTTTTCCGATTTCATGTGTCATTTGTAAGTTTAGAAAATTCTGAGATTGTTTTTAACTTTTAAGGTTGTCTTTTACAAATTTTTAAACTTTGAAGGGTGTTTTTTGCAAATTATAAAATTTTAGGGGGCTGTTGGTAATTTTTGAAATTCATGAGTCCTTTTTATGGTTAGAAAGTTTTGAGAGTTTTTCGTAATTTTTAACTCTTAAGGGTGTTTTTATGATATTTTAAATTTTAAGAGTTAAAAATTTTAAGGGTCCTTAAACTTCTATCTAGTAAAAATTTAAGGGGTTGTTGGTAATTTTCTAATTTTAAGTGTTTTTTATAATTTTAATTTTTTAAAAATATGTTTTGTAACTGTTGAAACGTTGAGTGTGTTTTTGAAAGAATAGCCATCGAAATGAGCAAATGGGCGGGAAATAGCCCGCCAATTTGGGCAAATGGGTGGGTATGATCCATTTATCTTTAATAGAACCTATACCTACTCATTTATGACCTATTTAACTATAAATGGGTGGGTTTAGATAGTTCATTTGGTTAGTTATTGGGTATGAGTGGACAAATAGTTTTGGGTTAATTTTGACATCCGTAGACTTAATTACAAACATTTGTCCATTCAGACAGAGAAATGACAGAAGAAATTTTATCAAGCAAAAAAATATATCAAAAAGATTAACGAGCATTGTGACCTCCATGTTGTGGCCTCAACCACTCTCTATGTAGAAAGATGCTCTTTTGTCTCGGCCATCACTGAGTAAACATACAGCTGGTAGTGTTTCAGAAATTGTCAGCTTTTAAAATTTTTTTTTTCTAATTTTGTAATCCTTGTAGCTACTATGATGTTTCCAATGTTGCGCTAACAAATAGTTATTCCCTATGTCATGCTTGAAAAAAAAAAAACTGGCATTGCACTTCGATAACAACAATCTATGCTCATCAATAATAAAATGAGAGTGGCAAGATGCTTGATTAGGACATGAATTCACACATTTCTGGGGCTTGATGAGGATAAAATGACACAGACTCAGGACTTGGATCAAAACCTTCATTATGTTGGGGCATTTCGTGAACTTGAGGCGCAAGTATCTTTGATATGCAGGCCAGTATTACTAGATAGAAGTTGAAGAAACTGCAAGTGCCTCATGGACAGAAATTTTAATACCGGCTAATGTCTCACAAGACCAGGCTTCTAGCGTCTTTCTGCAAGCTTACGCAAATCAGCATTACAATTTTATGAAGAAAGCAAGGCATTTTTCAGACAGTATTCTTATGTACTCTGTTTTACAATACATAAACTTTCACACATAAAAGCTTTCACTGTCCTCTCTCTATCGCCTTGGTTGGCCAGAAACGCACGGAAGAAGTCCGTAAAAAAGAGAAGGATTTGTAAAGCTGATGC